GCCCTCAGCTCCCAAGGATGCCTTTGGGTTCCTGCCCTTTCCTTGCTGGACTACAGGCCCCTTCAGTACAGAGCTGGACGCATGAGAGGGCTGGCTGAGTGCCACAGCGCCAGTGGGAAAGCAAAGGAGGAACCTGGAGGTGCTTCCCCTCCCAATCAGTTTTCAGATGCTGATGGAACCTGCAACATAGGCTCAGCGGTTTGCACATTGGCCTGCTAAACCCAGGGTTGTGAGTTCAATCCTTGAGGGGGCCATTTAGGGATCTGGGGCAAAAATCTGGGGATTGGCCCTGTTTTGAGCAGGGGGTTGGACTAGATACCTCCTGAGGTCCCTTCCATCCCTGATATTCTATGATTCAATGCATCCGGATACAGCCACACTCACACACCCAAGCGTCTGGGAAGAGTCAGACAGACAGACACGCTGCCACCTGCAGGACAGAGAGGGCTCTGCGAGCCGGGCTTGTCACCAGTAGCAAAAGGCTCAGAAACGACAGCCACTTGAACGCTTCCCCCGACCGCAGATCAGCCGGATTACATCACAGAAAGGCCTAGAAGAAATCTTGCAAAATACGCAGCTAAAGTTGAGAGTGTGGATGTGTTTTCACAGCTAATTTAGCTACAAACTAAGGCCCAATCCTCAAAGGTGTTTAGGCACCTAAAGTCCATTGAAATAATGGACATTAGGAACCTAAATCCTTTTGAGGGTCTGGGCCTGAACCGCCTGCCAAGCAATTCCAGACCCTCCTGCCTATAGAAGACAAAGGGAGAGAGTTAAAGTGAACCAAGTTACCGTCATTGGGCATCGCTCGACACTGGAGGACTTAGCCCTGCGACAGTGTCATTCACGTAACGTGGAGTGTTTTTTTGTATTAAATATACAGCCCTGACCCAGAGTCCAGTGGAGGCAAGGGAAGGATTTCTATTGACTGCAGTAGGTTTCGGATCAGGCTCTATGGGCTCCAATGCATCGCTGCCCTGCTCCACGTGCAAAGCCGCTGCAAAAAGTTGCCATTCTGAATTTCAAAGATGAGTGCCCAGGGCGTGAAGTCCCATAGCTCAGCTCTCAAAGGTATTTCGGCTCCTCCCTTCCACTCATTTCAATAGAACAGAGGCCCCCAAATGGTGGGACATGCCCCTCGCAGGATGGTGTGCAGGAATGTTTGGGGGGCAGCAGGGCCAGGCCCCACGGGGGGCAGAAGAAAGCGCCACCCAGCCCCACTCTGTCCCCAGCTCCTGGCCCCCTGGTTGGCCATGTCCCCTGGATGTGACTTGACCCCAGCTGCAGCCACACCTCTGGCCCTGGCCACGGTTCTGCCACCAGCTCCAACCACAGCTCCAGCCCCGGCCTCGGGCTCAAACCTCAGTCCCGCTTCCAGCCCCCAACCATGGCTCCCAGGAGGCACGGGCAGATTACATTGGGGTAAGGGGGGCATGACTTCAAAAGTTTGGGGACCACTGCAATAGAAGTTAGGAGCCTAAATACCATTTGAGGGTCTTGGTCTGTTGGATACAGGTATCTAGACAGATCCTTAAACTCCATGCCCAACTTTCTGTTAAGAATGGGGCCCAGCTGGGGCCACCCCTCCCCCTAGCACCCTCTGGACCCCAAACTGTGCAAGGGAACTGGTAAGGCCCCCCCTCCACTCTGGCCCCAAGGAGCATAAAAACTGAAAAGTAAATTGGGATTTTCAGAAATGAAGGGAGAGCCCCTTAGGTGGTATAATGGGTGTGACGCTGATGCACACCAGCTATGGGGCTGGCCCTGGGTCAGTTTTAATTAAAGAAAGAGCCCTTAGTAACGCAGGTAGGCAAGTGGTTGTTTAAAACCAAGGCATTTTATCTATTTATTTAAGAGACTAACATGTCTCCCAGCACTGTAGTGCCTCGGCACCTCCCAATCTCTCATGCAGGGGACGGGACTAGATGACCTCTCAAGATCCCTTCCAGTTCTATGAATTCCCCAGCCCCCCTGTGTGGCAAGGCAGTGTTGTTATCCCCATTGTACAGAAGGGGAACTGAGGCACAGAGAGGCTAAATTACTGGATCAAGGGCCCACAGGGAGGCTGTAGCAAAGCAGGGAATTGAAGTGGGGTTTTCTGAGCCTCATAGCTGCTGCTCTAACCACTGCACCATCCTCCCCCTGACAAACCAGCCTTGACGTGCTTGTGAGAGTTTTTTGTTTTTTGTTTTTTTTTTTTTTAAATTGTTCAGAATTTTATTCTCCCCCCTTCTGGGGATAGATCCTCAGGGCCCAATTCTGTTTCCATTGAAATTGCAGGCAAAATACTCATGGACTTCAGTAGGAGCAGGAGCAGGCCATCTTAGAGGTTACAGATTATGGACCATGCTGGAAACGTCTTTAGTGCCAACCAGCCAGTTCACTGAAGTGCTGAGGCTTGGCCGGCCGGTTTGCTCGGAGAGCTTGGAGCAATGGTTTATGCAAGGAGAGTATTTACGTGCCCACCCTTGACCTCTCTCCTCATCTAGGCTCCGCTCCTGCCCAGGTTGATTGGCAAGGTCTTAACTGAGCTGGTTTGGGGTTTCCTCCACTCCCGTTAACCAGCCAGTTCTGTTTTTGCAAGAGGAGGGCACCTAGGGCTGGAAATGGGCATCTTTGTCATCTAGTAATTGAGAGAAAAAAATCCTGAAGCAACAACCTCCTGCCCATCAGCCACGCAGCCGCTTGACACGGGCAATTTCTTCCCCTTTTCTGGCAAAACAAGCTGATCTATTTGTTCTATCTATGTAAATATTGCAACAGCTGCGCCTTTATCTGTGCAAGCCCAGCTTGTCTGCTCTGCACAGATACGGAGGGATCCCCTCTGCACTTCTGCAGCTCTGCTTTACTTACCACAACGCAATAGTCCTTTCCATTTCTGGTCATCTCTGCTGGCCTCGATCATTTCCAAAGGCACATTCAGTGATGGGTGTGAAAGGACCATAAAGCTTTAATACTGATATAACGTATCAAGGGACGGTTTTATGGTTCAGGGACTGAACTGGGACACAAACGACCTGTGTTTGATTCCCAGCTCTAACACTGACTTGCTTTGTGAGCTTGGGAGTCACTTTGCTTTGGTTTTAGTTCCCCCATCTGTCAAATTGTAACAGTCCTTCTCACTGACTTGTCTGCTTGATTGCACGCACTTCAGGGCAGGAACTATGCACCAGTATATCCCCCAGCACAACGCGGGCCCAATCTCAGCTGGAGCTCTAGGTGCTTCTGTAATAAAAATCATAACTGGGCATCTAGAAACCGAGATCCTACAATCAAACAAATACAGATTAAGATCCTGATCTTGCAGTTGGCTCCAGGTGGGCAAGCCCTTAGTTCTGAGTGGGCGCAAGGGGCCATCTGCCTAGATGCGATTGCAGGAACAGGAACTAATGACTTAATCCTGTATGATTTTAAGACAGCAATTAAAATCCATACAGTCAATGGGTCTCTCTTAGAAACTGTGTTACTAGAACCTAATCTGGATTCAGGTGGCACCTGATGGGGAAGGAAATGAAAGACAGCACTGGTTAGTGGTCACTGCAGGGAATACCCAAGTTCTCATCTTGTCTCTGATTCAGCATGTGGCACCAGACAAGTTACTTTCTTGCTCTGTGCCTCAGTTTCCCCATCGGTAAAACAGGAAGGCAATGTCGCAACAAATCTGTGGCCCCTAGATATCCGTAGTGGCTACTATACATCGCGGCTACTGGCAATGACCACTACAGAACTCAGATTCTCTTGCTCCAAAACCGCACTGACGCTAAAGGAGAATCTCCATTGGGGTTGGCCGTATGGCACCTCTGACACACAGTTGAGCAGTTCCATTTCCCTCCAGGAGGAGGTAGTGGTGCGCGTACACGCCAGCCAGCTCACTGCAGGATGGAGCTTGATACGTTAATGACGGTAAAGTCCTTTCAAACTGCAAAGCAGCGTGACGGCTCCGTATTAGCATCTTTACTGCCTTTAATGGCAGGATGTAAAGCGCCTGGATTCCTTCCGACCAGCTGCAGGGGGGAAGGGAGGGCAGGATGCCGAGAGCGATTATCATTATTTATTTAAATCCCAGGAGCACCCCAACTAAGATCAGAGCCCCGGGGCTTTGCCCGGGTGGGTTTACACGGTAAACAGACAGAAAACATCCCTCGGACAGTCGAGGTGCCTTGCCCAAGGCCAGGCACACAGAGACAGGACCTGAACCCCAAGCTGCTGAATGCCAGGCCAGCGCCTTGCCCTCCCCCCCGGACCAGCGCCTGGCTGCCCGGCCGGCGGCTGCTCTGTAATGCCCGATTACGACACTATCTCGCCCCATCCTTTTTTTTTTTTTTTGCTGCGCCGCGTCCGAGGGAAGCTAGGACCCGGCGGGATCCTCCGGCAGCGCCCTGGGAGGTGCAGCTGTGTCTGGGGTTTGGCTCGGCTTGTCAGTGTCACCTCCTGGACCGACACCCCCGCGCAGCCAAAGGCAGGGGGCGGGGGCGGCTTCCACCTGCGGCCCTCAGCACCCAGCGGGGCGCCCCAGGCCTGCAAGGGGGGGGGGCAGGATCAGCCGGCGCAAGGTGGGGGGAGACCTGGGTGGAACCTCTCCCCTGGGAGCCGCGATTCTGCTGCGCACCAGGGACCTGCTCTAGTCTCCTCCTCCGCTGCAGAGCCCAGCTGCTAACCTGCTGCTCCAGCCTGGGCTGGAGCCAGAGGAGAGGGGACCTGCGGCTGCTGCAGCTCTCCGTGGGCAATCAAGCACTTCCCCGGCCCTGGGCTGGTTGTAGTCGTTTGGATTCGGTCCCTGCCATCGTCGCCTCCCGGGGAGGCAGATTGCGTGGCTTGCGGGCGCTCACAGAGGCAGAGCCTTAGAGGAGGAAGCAGCCCGCCCCCCCCTGCCTCGGTAATAACACTCACCTGTTCTCCATTGGTGGCACACCTGGGCAGAAGGGGCCGGTTTCGAGGCAGCGGGGCATTAAACGCCTGGGGGACAAGGAGAAAAGGCCACCCCCCCCCTCCTCCGAGAGAAGAGACTCCATCTCCACACACACTTCTCCAGTGATATTTCAAGGGGTTTCCTCCAGCCTGGGCTGAAATATTTATTTTCTTTTGCCTTTTTTGTTTGTTTGTTTGTATGGGAACTATCTGGTGACTCCTCCCCACCAGGAATCCTTAGGAGATAGCTTCTGCTTCTCACTGTAGAGAACTTCATTTTGAAATCCGCTTTTCCTGCCTGTTCTGAAACCATCTCCTCTTCTTCCCCCCCCCCCTTTAAAAACAAAACCATTCTGGTTTCAGAATCTCTTAATTAGGGCAAAACCAGTATTTCCAATTTTTTTGGAGTGAGGGGGGAGACAGACACCGTCAAAGGCCCACAGAGCCTATTGTTGTTAAGGAAACTTAAAATTAGAATTTGTCAGTGTCCCTTCCAAGACCATGTCCACCCGGGAAAGCGTACAGATCCCAGACGATCGGGATTTTAATAATTTCCGGACAGAATGCAACTCGGACGCAGGCTGGAGTCAAACTTATAACAGATCGGGAATTGTTGTGTGGATTCAGATCTTGGAGGTGGAGAGATCCCTGCATAAAATCAAGGTAAGAAACCGGCTGGGATCTGTGGGAATGGTAGACATACCCTCTGTGTTGTCTGTGCCCACGCACTCTGGAGTTAAGCAGGCTGTTTGCAAAACACTGCAGAAGTGGGCTGCAATAGACTCCTTGTGTATTTCCTGCTTCTGTATTTCTTCATTTTCTAGGTGCATCGTGCAGGCCAGGAAGCTGGTGGGACTGTAGGGCTTTGTGTCGGAGTGTTCCCCCTGCATGCACCTGATCAGATCAATGATTTATGTAGTACCCTCTCTTCTTACATTAGTGGAACAGATAGCTTATCTGGCCCGGTATGCTGTTTCCAAGTGGCAGGATGCTGGCATAAAATCCCCATTATATATATACACCTAATGGTGCCATACTGAACCACAAGGGTGTGTGTGAGAGAGAGATTTCTTCCTAACCCCACCTGGCTTAGGCTTTTTACTCAGTCCTTCCACTCCAGGGTATCTCTTACAACTCTTCTGTTTTAGCCAGTGTCCTAGCACGTCATATTCTCTAATCCTGAGCTATTTGCCTAAATATCTGTTAGCAGTGAGTTCCACAGGTTAATGACTTTCTTTAACGCAGCATTTTGTATCCATTTGAAATGTGTTGCTTTTGAATTTTGCACGGGCTTCTCCTCCTTGGACAATGTGCTGAGGTGAACAGGAAGTGCCCAAATGTACCTTTCCAAGGCCTGTAACGCATGATGCTGATCTGCAATTGGCTCGTGTCTCTTCCTCCCACCCTGCTCCCTTACTAATGGTGACAGCTGGCTCCGCGGAGCCAGCAGGGGGCAGGACAGCCAGCTCACCTCCCCCTGGGAGCTCTCCGCTTGGCAGAAAGTCGGGATCAGCAAAGTTGCCTGACCAAGGAGCTGACCCCTCCCTTCTGAGGGCCGTTTCCACCAGTCGATTGGGATGAACTGGGAACTGGAGCACCTCAAGCAGCAGAGAGAGAAGCTAGGACAGGCCTGAGCCCTGGATCCCAAATTGCAGAGAGAAGCTACTCTGTCCCCTGCCCCCAAGCAGCAGTCCCTTAGTCCAGTGCAGTGTGCGATCGGGGCCTTTGGTGCCTAGAACTTGCAGCTGTGACTCCATTTCTCTCGCAGATGCCTTTGGCTAGAACGGTTATAGACCCCGCGCCTATTAGCGAGGCTTCTTCTGCTTGTCCCACACTCAGCCCATGCCCACAAACGCATGACACCGTTCTATCTCCTCCGCGAGCGCCTCCCCTCTCAGCCTGCGGGAGCCTCAGCAAAGAAGTTCAATGCGAGGCGCAGTAGCCGGATCCATCTTAGATCCTTGTGGAATCTGCTGCCGAGGCTCCGTGTCCCCAGAGCCCCTGCTGGGTCTGGGTAGTTAGAAGGTAGCTGGGTAGGACGATGGGACCAGGCTGGGATCCCTGTGTGGTACCATAGACTCACTTTGGGGGCAAGGTCTGTCCATCTCCCGTGTCTTGTAAGGATTTTCAGGGAAGTTGGCGTGGCCAGGTCTGAAAAGTGCACGCACAAGGAGGGATTTGGGGAGTGTGTGTGATAGTCCTGGATCCATTACTACCTGGAGTTTCCTGGGTGCTCAGATAATAAGGGATATATAAGAGCTTGTATAAAATAGAGTAGGACTGGCTCTTGGTAGCAATTGTCTGCGTTATGGGCACGCCCCGGGCCCGATCAGGACCAGAGCAAGGTGCTGAACAAACACAGAGCAAGAGATGGTGGCATTGGCCAGCTCTGGGAGCTGAGAATAGGCTCCTGATCCTGCCACTCCAGCTCACAGCAGGTGTCAGAAGCATCTGAAAGACCCTCCTATCTCAAGGCCCCCTGTTCTGGTGTCCCCGACGTGAAGTGCATTTGTGCGTCTCAATTCAGAAGCAGACAAGTGTCCCTTCTGCAGAACCCCCCCCCCACGTGCACTAGTTGGCTCCTTTACGGGCAGCCTCAGCAAAGTGGCCGTAGATTGAAAGGGGCACAGGGGCTGAACGCCCCACTGAGACAGGACCGAGGCACTGTCTGCGTTAACGCTACCTGTACTGGATCGGTTACGTGGCTCGGGGCGTGGAAAAACTTGCCCGACTCCTGGTAGCCGGGGGCAGAGGAGGTGGTGGGGAGCTCCAGCTATCAAGTTCCAGAGGCAGCACCTGGATGAGGAAGCCACTCTTGGGAAGGAAGAGGATCCTGGGATTTCTGCTTCGGTGGGTGGGTGGGCTCCCTCTCCTGTCGGCCTCCACCAACCCGCAACTAAGCCTGAGATGAATCTTCACCGCCTTTGTGCTTTCTGTCTCTCCCTTTCAGCCTCCTGGCCTCAGTGGCACAGGGCAATCTCTCTCTCACCCTTCTCCTCCCCTTCATCCTTGGATACTCCTTCTCCTCAGTCAGCTCCTGTGCCTGCCTCTGCAGCTGCTGCTCCTCAGCGCTTTCCCCAAACTCGCCTGACTTCTTGACCATTTCTCAGCTGCTTTCTGGGTTATGAATGGCAGCAGCAGAATGTCATTACTTTCACTGGGCTGATGCTTGACAAACTCTGATCAGCCACAGAGGCACCGGAGCTGCCTGCAGGCAGACCCAGGAAGGCAACATTGGAAGGTTTTCTTTGCAGTGGTAAGGCCTAGAAACTGCATGTTTGTTTGTTTTTTGTTTTAAACTGAAAGCACAGATTTTGCACAAATCAATGGCTTAGCCTGCTATACCGAATAGAGAGCTTCCCACTCTCCAGGTTTTGAGTGGGTGAGTTGAACCTGAAAAAATCACTATGGGCAAATTGAAGGCTTCAGCCAGTCTGGGCTGTCAAAATGACGTTTCACACCCACTCCACATTTAGAAGTAATTGGGTTCCATGCAGGAATGACTGGCTGAAATTCTCTGGTCTGTGCTGTGCAGCAGGTCAGACTAGGTGATCATTATTACTTGTGATGGTCCTGACAGGCCTTGAAATCCACGAAAACTCTCACACGGACTTGGGGGTCTGTATGTAAAACGTTGCCTGTGTCCCTCAATGGCCAGGATCTCATGCTTCAGGAGAAAGTGAAAGATCCATAATGCACTGGCTGAGTGGTGCAATTCTATAACAACACTTAGTTTTTCCTTAACACATGAAGCATGAATTCACCTGACAACCCCTTCCGCTGTCAGGGATGGAAGCAGATTCTCATCAGGGGGTTGACAGACACTGAGAATATAGCTACAGTTTTCCAAAGTGGCCCCTGATTTTTAGGTGCCTGACCAGATAAAATCTCAGGAAAAACTTCCTAACTGTAAGAACAGCAGGACAATGGAACAGATGCCTCAGGGGGTCATGGAAACTGCTTCCTGGAGGTTTTCAGAAGGAGGCTGGAGCCATGACACCACAAATCCTGCACCTTGGCAAGGGGTTAAACTAGATGCCCCTCGTGGTCCCTTCTAACCCTATGATTCCATGACCTGAGATGCTCTAGGCTTGGCTATGCAGAGGCGCCCACAGCTTCCATAGGTGATGTGGGTCCTCGGCTTCTCGGGAAGCAGCAGGCCCTAGGGGTCTCGTGTTGGGCACTCAAAAATTGAAAGTCTCTCACCAGGGCATAGCTCTCAGGCAGAGTCATGGTTAGGGTCGGGACTAGAATGCAGGGATCCTGGCTGCTGGTCGTGTGTTCGGGCCACTAGTCCACATCCTTCCATAGGGCTGCTGCTCCTGTTGACCATACATCTCTCCTCTGGGTCTGTAGTTGCCCCATCAAACTTGGAGTGCTTTGTTACTAGTGGGTCTGTTTTATCCGGCCTCTAGCTCGGAGCGTTTTTTGTTTTTTTTTTTTACCCTGAAGCATAGGGATTGCCTCCAGTAGGCCCGGGCCTGCAAAGCAGCTGCTCCCAGCACTGACTGCAACCTTGCTTGGCTGCAACACAAACCTGAAAGCTCCGGCCTGTCCTTGACAGCATGCTGGGAGCAGTGTGTGCCCGGCAGCACATTGCACTGCAGATGCAGAGCAAACAAACAGAGCGGGTGGCTCTGAGCAACCTACCTCCTGAGACCGCTGCTGGCTGGGAGGGAGATAGCCTCCCTGTTGGCTGGAGGGCTGGCCAGCTCAGTCACGTAAAGGAAAACCGATCTCTGTGTGCTCTGGCATCCCATGGCAGCAGGCTTTGTAGGTCCGCTGTCCTCACCTCCCCAAGGGCTAGGGACCCTTCTTTGCCTGGCCCTCTCCCATGCGGTCTGCACACAGAACACTTGCAAATCGCCTACGCAGCAGCGCTCGGGACCTGGGGGGCGGGGCCTTAGGGTGCCCCCATTCTCCTAGGCTTCCCCTCTCGGTAACTTTCTGCGATGTCCCCGTCTGGGGCCTGGCAGCGGTGAAAGCGCAGAGGTTGGCACACTCGTCGTTGCTGAGGTTTAGCATGCATTGCATCGGGCGCTGCAGCCTTCCGGCGGCTACGCTGAATCTGTGCAGCGCAGTGTCTCCTGCGAGCTAGCAAGGCTGGCTGGCCGGGGGCCTGCCCCATTCATTTTATGAGCACATCTCTGCCTCTGGCCTTTGCACGCTGCTTTGGGGTCCCTGTAACCACATGCACTAGCCCACTCAGATACCATCATGATGGGGCAGGACTGTGTTGTCAAGGGGATTTGCCACTGAGGGTGCTGGATGCACACAGGCCCTGTGGCTCTCTGGTTCCCAGACTGACTGAGGCTGGGATACCTAGTTTCATCACGCAGGGTCTCCTTAAATTCTGGCCTGGAGAGCGCAGGACATAATGTCCGGCTGAGCATGCCCCAGGGGCTGTAACAATGAAACCAGGGCACGACAGGCTTCGCCGTATGAGAGCGCAGTGATTCGGGAGGCTGGTAGCACATTCACTATAAACCGCTAGGCCAGTCACTCCCTGTCAAAGAAAGGAAGGGCAAGGAAGCAGTAGACGTGCTAGACATTGATTTTTAATAAGGCTTCTGAGACCGTTCCACATGACCTGGGCAAACTAGGGGCATACGGTCTAGATAAAATTACTATAGGGTGGGTGCACAACTGGTTGAAAGACCCTA